AAATAAAGAACACTAAAGAAATTCACGGGCTTTTGGAAGATCTTCAAATCCCAAATTCAACTAATCAATCAACATGAATCCATCAGGTATGCTTCCGCTATTCAGTTATGATTCTCGATTATTCAATATGAAAGCTCTTGGGATTAATATCGATTTATTTCGAATAAAGTTAAATACAGTTTATATCAATTGGTATCAGAGCTTATTCATATTTGATTTTTTTTTGGAATCAAATTTTTTCGGAAATTTATTTATCTGAGATTGTTCAGATTATTGTTATTGATTGTTAAATTATAGATTCATCAGTTCGTATATATCTGCTGAACTTTCAGACCTTGTGAATCAATTTTTATTTCGGCAAAATAAGTGAATCCTTCTGTTTATGCCTCAGTGATATTAATTATTTGTTTACAAAAGGCACTGTAGCTCTTGAATATCAAGATGATATGTTTATTAATCCATTATCTATTAGTTTGGATTCAATGGATTACTAATATGTTAATATTACTTTTGATATAACATGATAGTGATTTAATTAATATATGTGACCGACATGGTGACAAAGAAATAAGGATTATTTATTTAAGTAGTGCATGATTTAAGTATTTAATTGATTCACAAAGATTGAATCCATCAGGCTCTAGTATTGGATTCATATGTTTGATTTGGAAATTATTACATTAAATAATCACCTCGATTTATTTGCTGTGAAACTCCATCAGTTGATATTTGGTTGAATACCATCAGGTTTATGGGTATTCAATTTTTGGGTCTTTTACTTACAGAACCCTTTTAAGGTTTGTTCGCTGATATTAAAATAAATATTCGGCACTTCCTGTTAATTTAGATGGATTGATTGAAACAAAATGTTACCAAAGTGACCTCTTTTGTGCAAATTGATTCATTTAAATACTAAAGATTGTTGTATTTTTGTAATTCATGCGTGTGTTAATAAACCCAAAGGTGAACTGACACATGGCCGAATTACAAATATACCTGTGATAATAAATCTGTGACAATTATAAGGTTTTCATGTGAACAATAATCCTATCCAAAGATAGTTTTATTGTTTGACAGAATTTATTGTCAAGATTTGATTATTACAACGAGAGTACCGCTTACAATTAATATTATTATCCAAAGATATGATATTAATGTTGTGCTTGGTATCTTGCTATTGGTTTAAACCATATTTGGTTTAAATAATTAATTACGGATAATAATGTGAGCACTTTTGTTTATTATTCTCATCAGGTTCTTCATCTATGGTATCTACCAACTATCCAGTCCCCACTTTATCTGGGGACAACTTTAAGAACTGGAAAGAATCAATTTTGATTCATTTGGGCTGTATGGATCTAGACTTAGCATTAAGGATAGACCAACCTGCTTCTCTTACGGAGAACAGCACTACTGAGGAAAAATTGTGCTTTGAGAAGTGGGAAAGGTCTAATCGCCTAAGTCTTATGATCATAAAGAAAAGCATTCCAGAAATCTTTCGGGGAACGATATCTGATGATATCACTCTGGCTAAAGAGTTCCTTGTCGAGATTGAAAAGCGCTTTAACAAAAGCGATAAGGCGGAAATGAGTACTCTTTTAAAGAGTCTCATTACCATGAGGTATCTCGGCAAAGGCAATATAAGGGAATACATCCTCAAGATGTCCAATATTGCTTCTAAGTTGAGGGCACTAAA